GAAGTTATGCCCCAACTCCTGAGAACAGTGCAGCTACATAAATTCTTTGTAATTCTTCTGTTCAACAGATCTTTCTCTCATCCCCATTTACTTATTTTTTTATGCCCATTTACTTATTTATTCAATTACTTCTTTATGTCATTATGGACACACTGATATTTGTTTTGTATTCTAGGTTATAATCCAATACTGCTTCATTAATTTTCTGATTCAATTGCTTCCAGCATTGGTCATTAGAAGTTTTTGCAATGGGGTTTTATGTCCCTTTGGCATTCTCCTACCATTATGTTTTTCTAGTTTTTCTTTATTTGGGTTTGCTTGTCCACAGCAAATTTCTTTGAAATAGTATAGTACAGAAAGAGAAGAGGAGAGAAGAGAAACTTTACAGCGGTGATAAGTGACAAACAGTACCTCAAGCTAGGTTAACTTCAACAGTGATGTCATGTTTATACTAGGTACCCTTGATACATTGTGATGAGAATGGTGCTTTATCTATCTGCTCTTCCTCCCGCAAATCCATAACACAAATCTAATCATGAGAATGATAGGAGTCAAACCCTACTGAGGGCATTCTACAAAATAATTGATCAATAATCCTCTAACCTGTTGAGATCATCAAAAGCAGAAAGTCTATGAACAATCACTGCAGAGAGGCCAACAGAGATAATAAAACTAGTTGTAATGTGGCATCCTGGATGGGATCCTGAAACAGAAAAGTCATGACAAGTAAAAATTAAAACAAAGTGACTTAAGGACTTCAATTAATAATAATAATGTATCAATATTGGTAATTTAATTGTGACAAATAATAATAAGGGACACTGGGCTTGGGATATATAATAACTCATTTCCAGAACTTTTGTAAATATTAAACTATTCTAAAATTAAAAAGGTTATTTAAAAAATAATATGAAGATAATTATCATTAATTCATATAAGATAATTACCATTGATTCATATAAGATACAAATATCTGACAAAGTTTAAGAAATGGAAGATAAACTTTACAGTCATGTTTAAACTTCGCTTTGCAGTTAATATTTACTTTTAAATATAGACCCAATTTTTCAAACTCTTTCAATCCGCAAGTAAAATGATAATTCCAAAGACAGAATAACTAGATGAATATAAATAATGTATGCAAATAGTATTTAAATTACAATTAAGCTAGTTATCCAAAATCTGTTGTTGAAAGAAAATTGGAAGAGGGAAACACCCTGCATACATTTAAATGTTTTAAATGGATGCCTTTTTAAAAATGTACCACATACTCCTACGTTTTGTGTCTTCTTAATTTATCATGGCATGCTGTGTTTGTGGCTATAGAGATGTATCCAAATCTTTAGTACATAGAATGAGATGGTTTACCCTGCTGGTTTCCAATCTGGCTGTATGTTGGAATTACATGGAGAACACAATTGTCCGGTTGTATTTGAACCTCTGGCTTTGAGAAACAAGCATTAACATTTTTTAAACGTTTTTCAGGTGATTCTAAATTTGGACCAGATTAGAAATGACTGTAGTTCATGAATAATCCTCATGTGAAGAGCAGGATACAATTTCTCATGGAGTTGATCTCTTTCTGTGGTCATGTGTTCTGAGTAACACCCAAGTCATATCACATTATCACAAGGAGTTAATGTTAACTTTTATTCTCCTAAAGAATGTAAACTTTTCCTCTCTTCTGTCTCATTATTGATTATTTTCTTATCTGCTCTAGCTCACAATGTTTGCTTTTTTTATAATCTCCATTTATCACAGATATCAGTACTCTTAAAGATACCACTCAAATATTTTCTCACAGGTGCTTCCAGCACTATCCTCTCAAGACTTCTACCATTTGCTCTTCTCTTTAGTTTTGTTTGTGAGGTTTTCAACTTTTTAAATTTCCACTTTTTTGTTTTGTTTTCTGATTTCTACTTTCTTGTGTCTTTTGCTTCTTGCCACTTTACTCAGACAATAACAAATAGGTTGAAAACATTGATGTTATTATAAGTATCATCCACCAAATAGATAAATTATTTTCTTATACTGACTGACCCAACCCATCATAGTACATTGAATTGATGTTGAATTCTTAAAACCTTCTGCTGGCACATAAATAGTTATTTATGTGCCACCAGTTGCTTAGAGATCACATTTTCTCCCCTTCATTGTGGTTGTTACTGCTGTTCATATTAGGCTTAATGTTGTAGCCATTTAAGTCAGTGCCAGAATATTCCTTAAAAGATGAGACCTACAATGTTGTTCCTGGTGTAATGTAACAGAGACTGATCTGGTGGACAGAATATAGAGAGATTACTTTGATATTATAGTGTCTTCTGAATCTTTGCTAAAAGCTATACACATTGGATAAGATGTTTTTTAGTTAATTGAAAATATAATAGCAAATTCCTTCTTACGTCATAACTCAATTCTATGGCAAGACAGATACTTTTCCTGAGGGTTGGAAAGAGTGGTGGGTAGCCCCATTAGGCCTGAGAGATCATAATTTTATGGAGTTGTGATTTGTACCCGGAGTAGTGAAATAATCCAGATGGATTCAAATTTTATATAACATCTTGGCAGTAAATGTTTATCACAACATAAATCCTTCATATAAATTAAGGGAAGGTAAAGATAAATTTGAAGACAAAGTTATTACAGGTCATTTATTTTTAAATAGCTAAAGAAATATAGAGTGGCAGAAGTATATAAATGTTCCTAACCCTGTTAACAGAGACAGAATAAAATGGATTCAAATGCAGACTTTACTTCTTATGTAGCAGCTTCCAGAATATGGCACTTTCCTCAGTTTATCCTATCATTCTCCGTGATAATTTCAAAGAAATCACAATTTTTTAAAACGTTTCTGGATGTGTGTGCATAGCAATACATTTTATTTGTCTACACATAAAAATTAACTTACCAAATATTTTTAAAGTGTTTCATTAAGACTGATGTAACTTGTCCATGGACCTATGTATAATTCTACACAGCAAACTGTACATTCTTGATCTAGAATATATATAGAGAGATGTATAAGGAATCTGAGTTCATTACTTATTCCTAGATTATGGAGTGTACAAGTTCTATTTGATCAATTTATTCAACTTTTGTTTTGCATTTGCACTCTTACATACTCAATATTTAGTAAATATTTGCAGAACAATGAATATACAAAGTTTAGGTCATCTTATATTTACCTCTTTTCACAATGACTGTAGAGCTTACAGGATCTTAATTGCATGCAATTCTGGGGTCCAATGGTGTATTAGTCTGTTTTCACACTGCTGGTAAAGACATTCCCGAAACTGGGGAATTTACAAAAGAAAGAGGTTTAATGGACTTACAGTTCCACATGGCTCAGGCTTCACAATCATGGTGGCAGGTCAAAAGCATGTCTCACATGGTGAAAGACAAGAGAAGATAGTTTAGGTAGGGAAATAAATTCCCCCTTTTTTAAGCCATCAGATCTGGAGAGACTTATTCACTATGATGAGAACAGCACAGGAAACACCTGGCCGCATGATTCAGTACCTCCCACTGGGTCCCTCCCACAACATGTGGGAATTCAAGACAAAATTTGTGTGGAAACAGCTGAACCATATCATTCAGTCCCTGCCCCGTTCCTCACATTTCAAAACTGATCAAGCCTTCCCAACAGTCCTCCAAAGTCTTAACTCATTTCAGCACTAACTTAAAAGTCCGCGATCCAAAGTCTCATCTGAGACAAGGCCAGTCCCTTCCACCTATGAGCCTGTAAAATCAAAAGCAAGTTCCTTACCTCCTGGATACAATGGGGATATAGGCTTTGGGTAAATACAGCTATTTCAAATGAGAGAAATTGGCCAAAACCAAGGAGCTACAGGCCCCATGCAAGTCTGAAATCCAGAATGGCAGTCAAATCTTAAAGCCCCAAAATGATTTCCTTTGACTTCATGTCTCACATCCAGGTCACGCTGATGCAAGAGATACATTCCCACAGTCTTGCACAGCTATACCCCTGTATAGCTTTGCAGGGTACTGCCTCCCCTCCTGACTGCTTTCATGGGTTGGTGTTAAATATCTGTGGCTTTTCTAGGCACATGGTGCCAGCTGTTGGTGGATCTACCATTTTGGGTTCTAGATGACAGTGGCCCTCTTCTTGCAGCTCTGCTTGGTGGTTCCACAGTAGGAACTCTGTGTGTGGGTTCCAACCCCACATTTCCCTTCTGCACTGCCCTCGAAGAGGTGTCCATGAGAGTCCCACCTGCAGCAAATTTCTGCCTGGGCATCCAGGTGTTTCCATACATCTTCTGAAATCTAGGGGGACATTCCCAAATCTCAGTTCTTGACTTCTGTGTACTTGCAGGCTCAACACCACTTGAAAACTGCCAAGAGGCTTGGTGCTTGCACACTCAGAAGCCACAGCCTGAGCTCTACATTAGCTCCTTTCAGCCAGGGCTAGTGCAGCTGGGATGCAGGGTACCAAGTCTTTAGACCGCACACAACATAGAGACCCTGGGCCTGGCTCAAAAAAACACATTTTCCTCCTAAACCTCTAGGCTTGTGATGGGAGGGGCTACCACAAAGGTCTCTCTCATGCTCTGGTCATTTTCCCCATTGTCTTCGTGATTAACATTCAGCTTTTCATTACTTATACAAATTTCTACAGCCAGCGTGAATTTCTCCTCAGAAAATGGAATTTTCTTTTCATGACTTTGACATCACCCAAGTCACCTCTTGAATGCTTTGATGCTTAGAAGTTCCTTCCACAAGATACCCTAAATTATCTCTCTCAAGTTCCATAATTTACTAGGGTAGGGGCAAAATCTCGCCAGACTCTTCGCTAACACATAGCAAGAGTCTAAGAGCTTCAGCTGGAAACCATCATTCTCAGGAACCTAACACAAGAACAGAAAACCAAACATTGAATGTTTTCACTCATAAGTGGGAGTTGAACAATGAGAACACATGGACACAGGGAGGGGAACATCACCTACTGGGGCTTGTCAGGGGGTGGGGAACTAGGGGAGGTTAGCATTAAGAGGAATACCTAATGTAGATGATGAGTTGATGGGTGCAGCAAACCACCAGGGAATGTGTATACCTATGTAACAAACCTGCACATTCTGCACATATAGCCTAGAACTTAAAAAAAAGGTGACAAGAGTCACCTTTTCTTCCAGGTCCCAACAAGTTTCTCATCTCCATCTGAGACCCCTTCAGTCTGGATTTCATTGTCCATATCATTATCAGCATTTTGGTCAAAGCCGTTCAACAAGTCTCTAGAATCTCCAAACTTTCCCACATTTTCCCATCTTCTTCTGAGCCCTCCAAACTGTTTCAACCTCTGCCTGTTACCCAGTTCCAAAGTCACTTCCACATTTTCAGGTATCTTTTCGTCAGTGCCCTACCCTGCTGGTGCCAATTTACTGTGCTACTCTGTTTCCACACTGCTGATAAACACATACCCAAGACTGGGCAATTTCCAAAAGAAAGAGGTTGAATGGATTTAAAGTTCCATGTGGCTGGCAAGGCCTCACATTCATGGCAGGTCAAAGACATGTCTTACATAGTGGCAGACAAGAGAAGAGAGCTTGTGCATGAAAATTCCCCTTTTTAAAACCATCAGATCTCATGAGACATATTTGCTATCATGAGAGCAGTGTGGGAAAGACCTGTTTTCATGATTCAACTACCTCCCACGAGGTCCCTCTCACATAACATGAGGGAATTCAAGATGAGATTTGGGTGGGGACACAACCAAGCCATATCAACTAGATCAGAAGAATATATTTTTAAAATCAAGTTATCTTAAGCAGCATCTCATCAATACCCTGAATCTGCTGGTAAGAAATCTCTAAGATGTTAAATGATTCCCGTGTTCATGGATCTGCAATAACTGAGATCACAAATAGCTCTGTTCTCAATTACTCTTGAGTAAACAGTTTTTACATTCATTCTGTTCTGATAATGTCTTTGCTACTGCCCATTTCACACATTTCTGACAATCAAAAATTTATTCAAGCAGAAGATTAATATTTATTTGTAGAAAACATGAAAGTTATCTTTATAAAAATATTTTCTGTGCTCAAAGGAAGTTAAGTCATCTTATTGTTTCCATTCAAGGCTAAGTAATTGTAATGTCATCAAGTATTCTTTTTTTAAGATGGTAATTTCTGGTTCTTCGATGGTTGTGAGTGTTTCTTTCTCTTAGAGAATTTTCTTTTAATGGTCTCTCAGTCACTTACATACCTTGATTTTTTCATCACAGAAGCACATCAAATTATCAAATAGAAGCTTTTAAATAGATTACAATAGGAAGCTAAAAATGCTGAAGTCACCAGCAATCATTATGTTATTATTATAACCTTTGTAAATATTGTTATTCAGCATTTTATGTATTGCCTTGATATTCTCAGGATGTTTTGTAATCATCATGTTCTATCTTCAGCTTATATGCAGAATTTATAATTGCTAATGAAGGAATATAGTAAGCATTCATGATCTGTCTTTGCCTCTTATTTCTTAAATAACATATTTTCTATTTAAGCTATATTCTTCTCATATACAATAGCCAGAAAAACTCATGTGGTGATGTATTAATGCATTTTCATACTGCTATAAAAAATACCTGAGACTGGGTAATTTATACAGAGAAAGAGGTTTAATGGACTCACAGTCCCACGTGGCTGGGGAGGCATCACAATCATGGTGGAAAGAAAAAGAGGAGCAAAGGCACACCTTACATGGTGGCAGGCAGGAGAGCATGTGCAGGGTAACTGCCCTTTGTAAAGTCATCAGATCTCATGAGAATTATTTACTATAACAAGAACGGCATGAGAAAAACCCACCACATGAGTCAATTACCTCTCACCACATTCCTCCCATGACATGTGAAGATAATTGGAACTATAATTTGAGATGAGATTTGGATGGGGGCATAGCCAAAACACATAATTCTGCCCTGGCCCCTTCCAAATCTCATGTCTTCAGATTTCAAAACCAATCATGCCTTCCCAACAGTCCTTCAGAGTCAACTCATTTTAGCATTAACTCAAAAATCTATAGTCCAAATTCTCATCTGAGACAAGGCAAGTCCCTTCAGCTTATGAGCATGTAAAATCGAAAGCAAGTTAGTTACTTGCTAGATACAATGGAGTTACAGGCATTGGGTAAATAAACCCATTCCAAATGGAAGAAACTGGCCAAAAGAAAGGAGCTACAGGCCTAGTGCAAGTCCAAATTCCAGCTGGGCAGTCAAATCTTAAAGCTCCAAAATGATTTCCTTTGACTCCATGTCTCACATTAAGGTCATGCTGATGCAAATGATGGGTTCCCATGGTCTCGGGCAGCTCTGCCCCTGTGGCTTTGCGGCACAGCCCCCTCCTGGCTGCTTTTATGGGCTAACATAAAGTGTTTGCAGCTTTTCCAGGTGCATGGTGCAAGCTGTTGATGAACCTTCCATTCTGGAACTGGGGACTGGAGGACGGTGGTCCTCTTCTCAAAGCTTCACTAGGCAGTGACCCTTGTGGCGACTCTGTGTAGAGGCTCCCACCACACATTTCCCTTCTGCTCTGCCCTAGCAGAAGTTCCCCATGAGGGCTCTGCCCCTGCAGCACACCTTTCCTGGGCATTCAGGAGTTTCTACACATCCTCTGAAATCTAGGGAGAGGTTCCCAAACCTCAATTCTTGGCATCTGTGCACCTACAGGCCCAACAGCACATGTAAGTCACAAAGGCTTGGGGCTTGCACTGCCCAAAGCAAAGACCTGAGCTATATGTTGGCCCCTTTTAGCCACAACTGGGATGCAGGGCACCAAGTCCCAAGACTGCACAAAGTAGCAAGCCCTGGGGCCTGGCCCAACCCATGAAACCATTTTTTCCTCCTATGCCTTTGGGCTGTGTTGGGAGGAGCTGCTGTGAAAACCTTGACATGGCCTGGACACATTTTTTTTTCCCATTTTCTTGGTGATTAACATTTGGCTCCTTGTTACTTATGCAAAATTCTGCAGCAGGCTTGAATTTCTCCTCAGAAAATTGGTTCCCCTTTTATATCACATTGTCAGATTGCAAATTTTTCTAACTTTTATGCTCTGCTTCCCTTTAAACATAAGTTCCAATTCCAAACCATATCTTTGTGCATGAATAAAACTGAATGCTTTTAAGAGCACTCAGGTTAAATCTTGAATGCTTTGCTGCTTAGAAATTTCTTCCACCGGATGTCCTAAATCATCTCTCTCAAGTTCAAAGTTCCACAGATCTCTAGGGCAGGAGCACAGTGCTGCCATTCTCTTTTCTAAAGCATAGCAAGAATCACCTTTGCTTCAGTTCCCAATAAGTTCCTCATTTCCATCTGAGATGACCTCAGCCTGAACTTTTTAGTTAAAACCATTCAATAAGTCTCTAGGAAACTGTAAACTTTCCCATATATTCCTGTCTTCTTCTAAGCCCTCCAAACGGTTCCAATTTCTGCCTATTACCCAGTTCCAGAGTCACTTCCACATTTTTGGTTATCTTAATAGCAATACCCCACTCTACTGGTACCAATTTACTATATTAGTCCATTTTCATACTGCTATAAAAAAAAACCTGCTACTGGGTAATTTATAAAGAAAAAGAGGTTTAATGGACTCACAGCTCCAAATGACTGGGGAGGAATCACAATCATGGTGGAAAGGAAGGAGGCACAAAGGCATGTCTTACATGGCGGCTGACAAGAAAGCATGTGTAGGGGAACTGTCATTTATAAAACCATCGGATCTCATGAGACTTATTCACTGTCATGAGAACAGCACAGGAAAAACCCACCTCATAATTTAATTACCTCTTACCAGGTCCCTCCCAGGACATGTGGGGATTATGGGAGACACAATTCAAGATGAGATATGGGTTGGGACACAGCCAAATCATATGAGATGGGAATTTGACACATATTTCTATATATGCAATTTTGTTACATTTGTGCACCTGTCTAGCATCAAAACTCACAGTAAGATAACGTTTTTTCAGCAGGTAAGACTTTTTCATTTTTCTTATTTTCTTCTATTCAAACATTGTTTTAGTTGATCATTTGCTGTTCTTCATAATGACAAGTAGAATTTTAAACTACAAAACATTTTAAGCCATAAACTTGAGTTGGAAAATGTCTAAATATAAAATTAAACAGTAAATACATTAAATATAGCATTTAAAAGTAAAAGAAAGCTTTTGCTTATACTATGAAGCATAGCTGGTAGTAGCAATAATATGTTTGCTATTTATCCACATTTATTTATGCTACATCAAGCCTGCTTTAATGCTGATGGACTAGAATAAATCCTTTTCCAGGTAATATTACCACTTAGGGTTTATATAAAAGGAAAAGTATCTGTAAGTCTGGAGGTGTTAAGGTTATATCAACCACTTTTTAGACATCAGTGCTTATTTGTTCATGTGCTTTTCAGCATGTTCTTATTTCTACTCTCAAAAGTAAAATGAGCAATCGTCACATAATAAAGCTTGTTTAAACTCAAGAAATTGCCACTGATAGTTTCTGTGGTATTGAATCCCTATGATCATCAGTTTCTCTTTTGTAATGTGAGAACATTGGAATTTTGGTCTCTTAGCCCCACCAAGACTTATTATTATAGTATTATAGGGTTGTTTGTGCTTGCCTTTCATGTTCTTTGAGGACTATACATCATGTATCTTTACGTTTTTCTTTAATCTTTTCATTCTCTCTTCTTCTAAGTCTTACCTATATGCAGAAGAGATAATATATTTCTAGCAATCTCTGGTATTTCCATCAAAGACATTTTATATTAACCTAAAATCAGATGATGCGTAGCTGATTTAATGTATCCAATGATGCCAAAGGTATTATATATCTTTAGAACATCGGCTACCCATCTGTGTTTTCCCAGGAAGTTTGTCCTAAATCCTTATATTATGAGGGAATAAGAAGTAACAGATCATTAAGGAAACAGTGCATACAACTGTAAAGCAAAATAGCTGATTTACATAGTACCTAAAAGACTTTTTCTAACTAATTTTCTGAGAAGAAACACTCTTTCTTGTTCAACTGACACATGTATA